TTGGCTGTTTGTATATTTTCTTTAGAGAAAACTCTAAGTCTTTTGCCCCATTCTGAATCAGGTTGTTTTTTGTTGTTGAATTTCTGGAGTTTTTTTATATAGTCTATGTACTAATCCTTATCAGATATATGATTAGCAAGTATTTTCTCCCATTCCTTAAGTTGCCTTTTCAATGTGCTGATTGTGTCCTTTAATGAACAGAAGTTTTTAATTTTGATGTCCAATTTATCTGTTTTTACTTTTGTTGCCTGTGCTTTGCTGTTAGTCCAAGAAATCATTGCCAAATCCAATGTCATGAAGTTTTCCATTTTTCTCTAAGAGTTTTATAGTTTAGCTCCAACATTTAGGTTTGATCCATTTTGACTTAAGTATATTCACTTTTAAATTACACTATTAAGATGTGATTCTGATAAATCTGGAACTTTTGAGCCTCGTTTATATACAATATGAGAATAAATATAAGTAGTACTGTTTGTGACTTTTTTCTTAATGCCTTAAAAGCAAGTAATGGTAATTATTTTGATTATTTGGAATATAGTAGGTACTTGGTTACTTTCATTCTGGTGTTCAGTGGTTTTGTTTATTTGTTTTGTTAGAGATGAGGTCTCATTACGTTGCCAGGGATGGTCTCGAACTCCTGGCCTCAGATGATCCTCCCAACTCAGCCTCCCAAAGTGCTAGGATTATGGGCATGGACCACTGTGCCCTGCTGGTACTTGGTTATTCATTGAGTTAGTTGGGGAGCAGAGAAATTGCCTGAAAGCAGTCTTGTCCAAATGCCCTCATAGGGCAGAAATCCTTTCTACAATTTTCCAGCACGTTCATGCTCCAGTGATGGATGCTTACTCGTTAGTGGTCTGTTTCAGGACTGTTGTTATTGTAAAAGCTTTTTGGAAGCTCACTCCTTTCACAGCTCCTCATGATTTATTTACCTGATCTTTTACATTTCCAAATATATACAGCAGTAAAGAGAATAGTATATTGAAACCTGTACCAATCACCCAGACCCAACAGTTAGTAATATTTTGCTTAACTCTACCTTTCTTTTTCCCTGAAGTCATTTAACCTACATTTAACCACATTGACATTATCACACCTCACAAAATTTATAGTAATTGTATTATCAAGTGTGGAAATTTATATTTAAATCCCTGCCCCTAAAATATCTTTTTATTATTCAAATCAGGGTCAAAACAAGGTCCACACTTGACATGGGGTTACTAATTTTTAATTATAAAACCAATACATGCTCATTATAAAAAAAAAGAATTCAAATGGTTCAGAAAGATATCAAGTGAAAAGTAGAATTCCCCCTCTCACAATCATCCACTTTTCACACCCCAATGTTAAGTTTCCTGCATATCCTAGAATTTTTTAATGCATATATAAGCATGTGTCTCTTCACAAATGGGATAATACCACATATATGTTCTAATTTTTTTTGAGAAAAGATGGCTTTCAGTACATCTAGATCTATCCTTAACAGCTGCAAGGTATTCCACTAACATGGGTGTTGCAAAGTTCGCTTGACTAAAGCCCCAAACTGATAGGCACGTGTTGGCTGTTTCCATCGGGACATTAGCAACAGCACTATGGTAAACATCATTTTCGCACAGATCTGTGTACACTTGTTCCATTACTGAGGGATAGATTTCTAGAAATGGAGTTGCTTGATGAAAGCGTAAGCACAACTTTTATTTGGAGACATATCCACTGACAGCGGGAGAAGGCCGTTTCCCCCACACCCTCACCAGCTCTTCACCAGCCCGACAGGTGAGAACAGCAGGAGGCAGACACCTTTTCAAGTGTCTCTGCCCAGCAGTTTCCAGTGGCTGTTTGTTTATTCAAATGGAAAGGTTGTACCAACACAGTTGCCATCTAAAAATTTCTGAGCTAAGTACACACCAGCAAAGTGAAGTACTAAAAATATCCAGAAAATTCAAGCTTCGTAAAAGCTCTCTCGAATTTAGGTTCAGGGAGGCTGAAATCCACATTCCCTCTCGCTTGTGTGGGCTCAGCCTACATATATCCTTCAAAGAGACTTTGGAGAGAAATTGTTTCTCTATGTAGAGAATAATAGCATAAAGAGAAAATTAATTAAAATTTGATAGATACAGGATTCTCTCTAGATCTGTCCTGTTAAAAATAGATGCCACTAACCACAGCACTTAAAATGTGGCTAATGCAACTGCAGGATTGAATTTCTAATATTATTTAATTTTAATCAATATCAAAGTGGATACTCCATTGAATTATTCGAAAATTTTTAAGTACGTTTCAAACAACTTGAGTATATAAGTATATTTTTCAGCAGTAAATTTTATAAAATCTAACTACAGATTAAGTAGTATGGTCAATGAAAACCTAGCATCTGAATTTTTTTTTTTTAGAAACAGAGTTTTTTTTAGAAACAGGGCTTCACTCTGTTGTCCAGGCTGGAATGTAGTGGCACGATCATAGCCCACTGTAATCCCAAACGCTTGGGCTCCAGCAATCCACCCACCTAGCCACCTCCTGTGTGGCTAGGACTACAAACTTGTGCCTCCACACCCAGCTAATTCTTTCTTTTTAGAAGTGGTGTCTCGCTACATTGCCCAGGCTGGTCTCAAACTCCTGGCCTCAAGTGATCCTCCCAGCTGAGCCTCCCAGCTCAGCCTGGGATTACAGGCATAAGCCACCATGCCCGGTCTCAACATGTATTTTAAGTATAAAATACATGCCAGATTTTGGACACTTAGTATGAAAAAAGAATATAAAA